TAATAAAGATTATGGCAGAAATGAGTAAAACGGAAACTAAAAAAAATACAGAAGAGATCAAACCAAGGGCCACCCCTTTGAAATGATAAGCAAAATTGATAACCTTTAAAATAAAACAAAAAATGAAGAAGTAACAACTGATACCACAGAAATACAAAGGATTGTAAGAGAATATAATGAAAAATTACATGCCAACAAATTGGACAAACTAGAAGAAACAGATAAATTCCTAGAAATCTGCAATCTTCCAAAAGTGATTCCAGAAGAAATAGAAAATTTGACCAGACCAATTGCTATTAGTAATAAAAGTGAATTGGTCATCAAAAACTCCCAACAAACCAAAGTCTGGGACCAGATGGCTTCACAGGTGAATTCTACCAAACATCTAAAGAAGTGTTAATATCTAGTCTTCTCAACTTATTCCAAAAAATAGAAGATGATGGAAAACTTTCAAATTCATTCTACAAGGCCATCATTACCCTGATTTCAAAACCAAAGACACTGTTTAAAAAACAAGAAACTATAGCTGGTATCTCTGATGAACATAGTGCAAAAACCCTCAATAAAATATTAGCAAACTGCATACAACACTACATCAAAAAGATCATTCACTGCAAACAAGTAGGATTTTTTCCAGGGATGAAAGGGTGATTCAATATTTGCAAATCACTCAGTGGGTTATATCACATTAACAAAATGAAACAGAAAACCCACTGGACCATTTCAAAGGATGCAGAAAAAGCACTTGACAAAATACAACATCCATTCGTGATTTAAAAAAAAAAAAAAAAAAAACCTCTCAATAAAATCAGCTTAGAGGGAACATACCATAAGGCCATATATGAAAAACCCACAACTAACATCATACTCAGTGGTGAAAAACAAGCTTTTTCTCTAAGATCAGGAACAAGACAAGGATGCCCACCCTCATCACTTTTATTCAACAGAGTACTGGAAGTTCTAACAGCAACAATCAGACAAGAAAAAGAAATAAGAGGTTTCCAAACCATCAAGGAAGAAGTTAACCAAGACTATTTGCAGATGACATGGTACACTGTATACAGAAAACCCTACAGACTCCACTGAAAAACTATTCAAATTGATATATTAATTCAGTAAATATGCAAGACACAAAAGTAAGAGCTATCTGTTCCATTTCTTCTGTACACTACTAACCTTTTACAGTTGCACCAAAAAGAATAAAATACCCAGGAATAACTTAACCAAAGAGGTGAAAGACCTATGCTCTGAAAATTGTTAAGACATTGATAAAAGAAACTGAAGATGACACAAACAAATGGCAAGCTGTACCATACTCATGGATTGGAAGAATATCATTAAAAGGTCCATACTACACAGAGCAAACTACAGATTCAATGCATTTTTCATAGAACTAGAATAAAACTAAAATTTGTATAGAACCACAAAAGACCTTGAATAGACAAAGAAAGAAATCTTGAGAAAGAATAACACAGCTGATGGTACCACAATTCCAGATTTCAAGATAGGCGACAAAGCTGTACTAATCAAAACAGTACAGTATTGACACAAAAAACAGATACATAGATCAATGGAACAAGATAGAGAACCCAGAGATAAACCCGTGCGTTTATAGTCAATTAATGACAAAGACAAGAATTTACAATGGGGAAAAGATAGTTTTTTCAATAAACAGTTCTGGGAAAATGGGACAGCTACATGCTAAGGATTGAAACTGGATCCTTTCTTACACTGTACACAAAAATAAACTCAAAATGGATGAGAGACCCAAATGTGAATCCTGAAACCATAAAACTCCTGCAAGAAAACACAAGCGGTAATCTGGAACCACCCTTAGCAACATATTTACAGATACGTCTCCTTACGCAAGGGAAATGAAACCAAACTTAAATCATTAACAAACTTAATCATTAAAAAGCTTAAAAAGCTTTTTAATTTTTTTTTATTTTTTAAAAATGTTTATTCATTTTATTTTGAGAGGGGGGAAGGGGCATAAAGGGAGGGAGAGAGAGGATCCCAGGCAAGGGCTCCATCTCCTGTACTGTGACATCATGACCTGAACCAAAATCAAAAGCTGCTTAACCAACTAAGCCACCCAGGCGCCCCAAAGAAAAAGCTTTGCGGCAGCAAAGGAAACCATCAACAAAAAGCCAACCTAGTGAATGGGAGAAGATATTTGAAAGTGAAATAGGAGACAAGGGGTTAATATCCAAAATGTATAAAGAACTTATACAATTCAATCAAATAGGGTATTACGCTACGTCAAATAGAGAAAGACAAATACCATAGGATTTCGTTTATAAAAAATAAACAAGAAACAGACTCTTATATATAGAGAACCAATTTGTAGTTGCCAGTTGGGAAGGTGGTTGGGGGAATGGGCTAAATAGATAAAGGGGATTAAGAAGTACAAACTTCCAGTTATCAAATGAGTAAGACATGGAAATGAAAAGTACAGCATAGGGTGTCACCGTCAATAGTATTGTCATAATGTTGTATAGTGACAGCTGGTGACTATACTTATTATGGTAAGCAATGAGTAATGTATGAAATTGTTGAATCAATATGTTGTATACCTGAAACTAATAGCATATCTGTTAATGATACTTCAATAAAGAGAAGGTTCTATGAAATTATATCTCACATATAGGATTTTTATGGTATTTCATGAAATGATAATGTCCTATGGTTATATTAGATGTTGTTAAGATAAGCTGGGTGAAAGGTATATGGGAACAAAGCACAATTTTCTTAATTCTCATGAGTCTAAAGGGTTTTTTTTTAATGTTTTATTTATTTCTGAGAGACAGAGACAGTGTGAGCAGAGGAGGGTCAGGGAGAGAGGGAGATACAGAATCTGAAGCAGGTTCCAGGCTCTGAGCTAGCTGTCAGCACAGAGCCTGATGCAGGGCTTGAACCCAGGACAAAGTTATTTTTAAATAAAAAGATTTTAGGGGCACCTAGGTGGCTCCATTGGTTAAGTGTCCAACTTTGGCTCAGGTCATGATCTTGTAGTTCATGAGGTCGAGCCTCACATCGGGCTCTGTGCTGATAGCTCAGAGCCTGGGGCCTGCTTTGGACTGTGTCTCCCTCTCTCTCTGCCCCTTGCCCACTCATGCTCTGTCTCTCTCTCAAAAATAAGATAAACATTGAAAAAAATGTTTTTTAATTTTAAGACAGAGTAAATGTCAGGCTACCAAAGCTTTTAGAGCAGCCTAAGCACGATGAAGGGCACAGGCCCAGGATCTGCAATTGACAGCAAAATGTGCCATCTAAAATTTCCATTTGCTGCACCAAAGTCTCTGGCATTTTATCAGTATAAACAGTGACTTGGTTATCTAAAGAACTTGGTCTTTGTCATTTATATTATTGGATGGGAAACTGTATTAAAAAATATTAGAGTTATCAAAAGTCAAGAAGATTTTCTTAACTACATATTTTTATACTCTGGGGCATTTGAAATATATAGAAATATATAAATCTAAAACTACAGTCACCTATATTCTGCCCCCCAGAATCATTATTGACATTTTGTCACATATCCTTCCAGGCTTCATTCTGCATATATTTTCATTTAAATTGCAAGAATAAGTTGATGAATCTAATTTCAATAAAAGAAGTAGGTTTTATGGCAAACATACAGGAACATGGCTTTCCCAGAAAGGAGAAGGCTTAACATTATCAAATAACAAGAATGGAAAAGTTTTCTATACGGTTATTCATCCTTTATGTTTAGGAAAAGATGAGTCCTATTTCTACCTTATTCCTTGATATATTCTTTATATTTTTCATATGATACAACAAAGGAATGTACTTGATAAATGTTTCAATGAGTGAAGCATTCCATTCTCAAAGAAATGAGTAATCCAGGTTTGTTTGTTTTTATAATTTTCAGGAGTACTGTCTAGATTCTCTTGACATAGTTTGTTTTAAAAATTAGTAATTCTTTTGAAAGCCAAGCATATTTTTAAAGTTCTACTTATTGTGATTTATTATAAACTTTCTCTGGTCATTGGTAGATAGAAAACATGTGGGAATAACGTACACCCTTTAAGATTATCACCAATGTCACCATTTTATGTTAAATCTTTCTGCATGTTTTCCCTTAGTTACCTTTATATGCTTTCTTAATTTGTTTATGCCTTTTGTTTTCAAAAATGTTAATGTCTGTTTCAAAATGTTCCCTAGCAGAAATGGCAAAATCCATTACAGATAGAAGCATAGATTCCCCCAATATCCTCAGCCTTCTTGCAAGTGGATTAGTTATTTATGTTTTAGTTTTACGTTTAGGCTAAGTAACTCACTTACTTTATGTTGTACTCAATAATTCACGCAGTGTTTATTGATTGTGTATATCGGGTGTGTAAGAGAAAGAAGGCAAGGAAACAGACCACCTCATATTCCCAAGGATCTTAGAGGTTAGACACAAAATAGGCATGAATCAGAGAATCACACAACTACACCTGAGATAGGTCTTATAAAAGACAGACAGATTCATGCTACTGTACTAGGGAGTTGAGAGATAAGAAAGTTGAGGAATGCTTCCCTGAGAAATTGATGACCAAACTAAAGGAAGGTAGAGTCTATACCTGTCAGAGAGGGCACTGCATGGGAGAGGGTTAAGCAGGAAAGATAGTCCCGCCAGATGAAACTGAATTTTTATGCATGAGACATAATCACTAAGCCACGACATGTCAAGCCTCTCTTGGATGAGTACACTGAAAGATGAAAACTCCTATAGCAAGTTAATGAAGGGCCTGTACTCAGATGTCTTCATTCCTCATCTAATATTTTGTCTACTGTGCAAAGCTGCTTCCCCCTCCAACTTTGTTTCTTAATGCTCGGCTTTTTTGCATCAAGGGAAGTGTGCCAGGAATGATACACTGGGTCAGCTGTCAGCAGTGGCAAAAATAGTAATTTAATCATCAAAAAGTTTAGTGAGCCATTTTAACTAAATTGCTTTGTCAGTAAGCAACACTGCAAAGTCACGCTCCTCTTACCTTCAGCGAGAACACACAGAGGATAAATCGGCATCCACAGTGTTTGACTGAGCCAGGTCAGGATGGCATAGGATATTCCTATGACTGATAACATGCTGTAAGTGTACCTAAAAGGAGACAAGGAGCTCATCAACATCATTTCCTGCTGATGTCTGAGAAAGAACAAGAGAAAAAAATAGCTTACATTGCAATTAAATGCAGAGATACAACCGGCAAGTGCAAAATCCAAACTTTATGTCCTATCATTTAAGTGGGAGAATAGGTTTGTCTGGTTTGTCTCACGGGGTGGATCATGGATAATGATGGAGGTAAACAAAGAAAAAGGTAACTCCTATCCCTCAGAAAATTACAGTTTCAAGATTCCCTGATTAGGGACTTTCATTTCACTCAGAAGCTAAGCCCACTTTATGGAGCCCATAGCTAGGTTTTTTAAGACAGACATATTTATAAATATCTAGGGAATGAATTTTTAAAATAGAAGTGTGACTGCTAAATCCATCTTTGGCATCCCTCTGCTTATGGAGTTTGGCCATGTTGCACAATTAAAAGAACTGGCCTTAGAAACTCGTGCAGTAGGTAATTTTAAACCTGCCTTCACAATGTAATAGATGAAGTAGTGCACATCTTTTTGTTTCTCTGACTAGGCAGTGATTTTCAAGCTTCAGCATACATCAGAATCACCCAGAGATCTTGCTAAAGCACAAGTCACTAGGCCCTATCCCCAGAGTGTCTCATTCAGGGAATGTGAGGTAGAGCCTGCAAATTTGTATTATAAACAAATTCCAGGCGGTGCTGGTGCCACTGGTCCGGTATTCTGTCTATACTTTGAGAACTACCACAATAGGCAATGCGTCCTATAGCAAAGAAAGAAAGAAATCTGAAACTTTGAAAACATGAATGGAAAAAACTAAATCTTTCTCCCATTCTGAGACGCCAATTCCATTCCTCAGAGGCAGTGACCAATGCCAGTTTCTCATATATCTTTTAAATATTTTTGCATTTGCTTACGTACGAGTATAAATACATATGTCAACAATGTGAGCCTTCATTAAACCTGGCAGCTTATCAAACTTGATTTTTACCAATCTAAGTGAAAAAGAATCTTTTTTTTTTAGTACAAAAGTAGATAAGCATCTTCTCATAGATTTAAAGCCACTTTTGACTAAGTCTAATGTATCTTTTTTCTTTCATTGCTTGTGTTTTGGGGTCTAAGAATCCACTCTCAAATCCAAAATCACAAAGATTTGCCCCCACGTGTTCTTCTCAGAGTTTTATAGTTTTGGATCTTACACTCAGTGTTTTGATTCCTTTGGGGTTAATTTTTGTATATGGTAGGAGGTAAGGGTCCCAGTAACATTTGTTAAAAAGACTTTTTGCCCCCCAAGAATTGTCTCAGTAGCCTTGCCAACAATCAGTTTACTACAAATGTGAGAGTTTATGTCTGGACTAAATAAGTCTATTCTAGGATCGATCCTTATCTCAGCATCACATTCTTGATTATTATTGCTTGGTAGTAAGTTTTCAAGTTGAGAAGTATTTCAAGTTGAGGTGTTCCAACTAGGTTCTTCTTCTGCAAGATTGTTTTGGCCATTCTAAATTCCTTGAATTTCTACATGAGTTTTAAGATCAGCTTCACACTTTTCTCAAAGCAGCCAGCTGGGATTCTGGTAAGGATAGCACTGAATGTGTAGATCAATTTGGAGAGTGTTGCACTCTTAACAACATGAAGTCTTCAGCCCATAAACATGGGTTATCTTTTCATTTATTTAGGTATTTTTAAATTTCTCCCAACAATATTTTATAGTTTTCAATGGACAAGTTCTACATGTCTTTTGTTAAATTGATTCCTAAGTCCTTTTTTTTTTGGATGCTTTTATAAATGAAACTTTTTCCTAATTTTATTTTAGGATAGGTCGTGGCAAGTGCAAAGAACACAATTGATTTTTGTATATTGGTTTTGTATTCTACAGCCTTTACCAGTTTATTAGTTCTAATATTTTTAGCGGGTTCCTTATGGTTTCCTTATGTACAAAATTGTATCACCTGCCAACAGAGATTCCACTCCTTCCTTTCTAATATGATTGCCTTTTACATAATTTTCTTGTCCAAGTGCCAGAAGTTGGCTAGAACTTCCAGTACAATGTAGAACAGAAGTGGCAAGAGCAGACATCCTTGTCTCATTCCCAGATTTAGAAAGAAAGCATCCATTTTTCAACATGAACAATCATTTGGATGCAGATTTTTTATAGAGGTCTTTATCAGGTTGAGGATATTTCTAGTCCTTGCATTTACAAAAACATCATTCTCAGGTAAGCTGGGAAGATAATTCCACCCAAATTTTATAGAGAAGGGAAACAGAGTTTCAAAAAGGTTAGTTAGGTGCTCAGGAATTTCACTTCTAAGTTAAGAGAAATTAAAGTCTTTGTACACACAAAAGCTTGTACAAGGCTGTTTCTGGCAATATTCCTCATAACCAAAAAGAAGATCCATCAACTAGAGAATGGATAAATAAAAAGTGGTATATCTATAGAATTGAGTATTATTCAGCCATAAAGAGGAAATACTGATATGTGTTTTAACATGGATAAGCCTTGAAAACATTATGCTAAGTGAAGGAAGCCAGTCACAGAAGGCCACATACTGTATGATTCCATTTATATGAAATGTCGGCAAATTCACAGAGATAGGATGTCAGGGGTTGCCAGGGGCTGAGAGGGGGAGAAAACAGGGACGTTACTGCTAATGGGCTTGGGGGTTCTTTGGAATGCCATGAAAGTGTCCTGAAATTAGTTATACATGTCTTTGAATACTCTAAAACCCACAAATTTTATAAAAAGATGTTAAGGTACATGATTTATCTCAATTCTGTTATTTGTTTTTAAAGGCTCAGAGATTTGTCCAAGATAATATGGCTAGTAGTGGCTGTGGGATTCATCCTAGGACCTTGTGTGTTAAAAAGTCCTTCCAGAAAGGATACTGCTCTCAATGTTAAGGTCATTTCGTTCTCTAACCCAGCTCATGTGAGACTGAACAGACACTGAGAAAATCAGGCATACCAGAGAACAGTATGTCAGAAAGTCACAGTCCCAGACGGGGCTCCTTGACTCAGGAACACAAAGTCATGGGCTACAGGAGTCCATGCTATTTGCCCCGAGTCGACAAAGCTATCAGTTAAAAATGAGAAATAGCTGACACAAATTATATACACAAAGAATTACAGTCATTTTAATTCAACAAAATAGTTCATTCTAACTCACTCTAGGGGCTCAACCTATTATTAAGAAATATTTTAATTCAGCTAGGTTACTGAGAATATAATAAACAAAGAATGAACATAATCTCAGCTAAAATGCTATGGTGTGTCTGTTACCTAGCCACATCTAGACCTTTCAAGTGAGAGAGGCAGGTCTCAACTGTGAAAGGTGAAGTAGAAGTTAGGACACCTGCCCACGATGAGCCTCTGAGCAAAGGGGACTGTTCACCCCTCTGCTGGTAGAGGTAAGACTAAGACCCATCTCTGAGAGGTTTTAGAAACAGAAGGAAACTGATGATCATCTAGAGGAAAAGGTTCTTAACCTAAGGCTCAAGGAATCCCAAGGGAATCCATAAAATAACTTAAAGAGGTCATTCAAACCCACTAGAATTGTATTCAAAATGTATCCTGAAGATGAAAAGGACAGCACAGGGAATATATACTCAATAATACTATAATAATATGGTATGGGGACAGGTGGTAACTGCGCTTATCACGATGGGCACTGAGTAATGTATAGAACTGTCCAATCACCAGGTTGTACACTTGAAACTACTATAACATTGTATTCACACTATATGTTAATTATACCTCAGTAAAAAATACATACAAAATATATGCCTGTTGGAGGTACATTTTTCTCCCCCCCAGAGAGATGAGGTCCTATATTTAAAATATTCCTGAGCTCTCAGAAACCAACTTTGTAAATCTTGAGTGGGATATGATAGAAGTGCTTTGCTTGTTAGAGTAGCACAGGCCAGAGCAATCGCAAGGAATGCCTTTCATTAGCAAACAGCTGGGAGGTTTATTCCACACTGGTGTTATGCCAAGTTTTCTGCTGGAAACCTGAATGCACTGATTTGCTCTCACAATACCGCAGTAGGTTTTCATTATCTCTGATATGCGCATTATGGGAAGTGCTAAAAATACATTTCCATATCAAGATAAAATAAATCGCAAAGGGGTTATGTTTTTCTCTCTCAGTCACAGTAACCAAACATAGACAGCTATTCCTGGTTGCGTTGTAGAAAAGCAACTTGGCTTTGTTTTAAGAGATTAATTTGCCTCCTTACCTAACCATATCCAACAGATTCCAAAAGATGAACAAAACACACACCACATATTTCTCTTGGACTTCCTCTTGACTTGTGATCACCACAAAGAGGATGATTATTCTCTCTGTGAGCTAACAAAGAAACAGCAAAGAATTAGGATCATCTGTTAAGCATGTAGGTAATTTCTAATTTTAAACACCAGAGTCCCTCTTAAAAGTATGCTTTAACTGGAAAGAAGTTACTAAACTGTTAACATACCCTCTGAGGGAGTAGGGTCCGAGGTCCATTTCATTTCCTTTTTGTTTTTTGTATTTTGTATTCTCCAAATTATATATAATGAATGAAATGCCTGTATTTTAAAAACCTGTATTTTTAAAACCTGTATAAAAACCTGTATTTTATCTGAATCAGGAGATTTCTCCTCCTGCAATAAAATGCACACATGTTTTTATTCACTTTGGCAAGCTTTTATTGGGTATCCACCATGTATCAGATGCCAAAATCACATATATAGTGAAAGCATGGTCCTTGCTCCAGAGAAAAGCACTGGTAGGAGAATGTGGGGATGGAATTCTGACACAGTGTGAATAATGCTGTCATTTAAAGTGCTCTGTCTGGGACCCCAGGTGAGGGAGATTCCTGCCTCCGGAAACGATGAGATTTATGAAGACAGGCAATGCTTCAGGTGGATCTGGGAGAAGGGACAGGAGTTTGTCATGTAGGCTGAATGGGAGAAAGGACATCCTAGGTCAGGGGAGCAGGCTAAGCAAAGAGGCAGAGGTGTGAACATGCAGGTGTATTGGGGGGTAATGAGAACCCCTGGAGGCTACAGTTGGAGGAAGGTGCAGAGAAGGGCATAATAGGAGATTAAATAAGAAATCTGTTGGCGCTGGGTTGTGAAGGGTTTTGAATAATGGGCCAAGAAATTTCAATTTCATCTAACAGAGAAGCCATCATAGTTTTGTTTGTTTTTAAGGGGGTGGATGGAGGGAGAAGAGAAGTAATATAATCCTAATCTTTAAAAGCCAGTGGAAAATGAAAAGAATTCATCATACACATTTTTTCCAAGTCAGTAGCATTTTCAGATCATTGAGAATTCACACACTTATGCCTTAGCTCCAATTACTGACTTCAAAAAATACATTCTTCTTTCCCAATCTAAATATAACGTGACTTCTTACATTATATTAATACCCTCTGTACAGTCTGCATTTTTTTTTCTTAAGAGAACATTTTACTTTGCTTTCAATAGTCAAAGGAAAATGTACTAGAGATTGAGGGAGCATATTAGTGATTTAAAAAAGGAGCGGACTGCCTTATTTTTTCCAACAGCTGTCTTTATTTTTGAGCCAGATCTAGGAGAAAAGAGTGGAATGATCTGTGACTTAGAATCACAGGCTTGTTAATACTGGAAAATCACCTAGTGCAGAGAAGTCCAAGATTTGCCAATACTGGGCCACATGCTCTATCAGCATTTTATGACCACAGCACTGAGTCAAGAGGGTCTCTGCTTGGCTAAGGGAATTAGATATGATTCATACCTTAGGTCCATCCATAGAACCTATCTACATAGTTGTATTTATTTTGTTAGTCTTTCTTTACCATGCCCTTGTTTCTTGATTTAATTTATATTTACATCATAAAGTATACTTAACTGCGATTATAATTACCAAATGATCCACACTTGCTGCCAATGACACCGGCAGCCTTCAGATAAAAGATTTTAGGCAAAGATCTTAGGAGCAAACAAGTACTTAGGAACCACCTAATCTTCTGGTTGGTCAGTGCCTGCTAATTAGGAAAATCATCTAATTTTTTATAAAAATCTCAGAAGATATATACACATGAATGCATACATACAACACATATTCCTAATTAATACGGCTCACTACAGAAAGAAAAGACCTAGATACCTCTTGATAAGATGGATCCGTAGGGTCCACTCTAGATTAGCCAATGCCACCTTTTTACAAATAAAAAATTGGAGAACCAGAGAAGTGACTTGCCACTGGCAGATCTGGAGACCTATAGATCCCAAGTTTTTTGGTCTCCAGAGTTATAAGCTATCCATGATGTCAGATTGCCCCTTAACTGATGAGTACAGAGGGGGAAATCTCCTAAAACAGAGAATATTACTGGACAATAGAATTCGTCCTGTTGAGAATCATCACTTGTTACTGATGCGATCTCAATTGCATAGCAATTGGCAGTCAACATGCTCCCAAACCCCACAACAACATACATACAGGTGGAATATGTGAAGACCCCTATTACAATGTCAACTAAATTGTCTGATGGTTCTTTAACTTGATCATTCAATGACAAGACACTGAATGGGAGAATTTAGTTGGAGCTATTCCTAAATTGGTAACAGCTAATATTTATCAGTTAATTTGTGTTAGGTTCCAAACATACACCATATCTCATTTAATCTCCATAATGACTCTAAGAAATAACTGTTATTTTTTTCCGCCTTTTATAAAAAGCATTGCATTTTACAAAGTGAAAGTGACTTGCCTACAGATCTGGGATAAAAATCTAGACAATGAGACTCTAAATCCCCTGTTCTGAAACACAAAGACATTTTCCCCCATTGTCACTTCATGGGCTATCCTCACTCATAATATCCAGGTTATGGTCTATTCTTTCAAAAAGCCTCTTTTCAAAATCTTTTTTTTTTTTATGTTTACTTTTGAGAGAGACAGACAGACACAGCACCAGTGGGGGAAGGGCAGAGAAAGAGGGAGACACAGAATCCAAAGCAGGTTCCAGGCTCTGAGCTGTCAGCACGGAGCCCATGAGAGGCTGGAATTCATTAACCGCGAGATTATAACCTTAGCCAAAGTCAGACACTTAACCAACTGAGTCACCCAGCTGCCCTTCAAAAAGCCTCTTTTCAAAAGTTAAGCTTAAGAACCTCTAACACCAAAACACTTTTGAAGAATAGACTTTTTATATATATTATTTTTCTTTATGTATAATAATTTGGCCAGCTATTTGGAGCTTTACACTTGTGAGAACTTCGCACTTTGTCATTTTAAACAAATTCTAAGAGAACATGAGTAATTACTAATGTTTTTTTTAATGTTTGGCAAAGCTTGAATCAGGTAGAATAAAAGCACCATAAAAAATACCCTGTAACTTGGGCCAAATGAAACACTGTCATAATGTGGTATACTCAAAAGTATGGTAACAATAAAATACTTTGCATTTTTATATTCTATTTGGGAATCCTAAATTCCAAGTTAAGCAGTGACTAAAACTAAGTTGTGACTTTATAAATGGCAGCTGGCACTTTTGTTATAAACTATTCTATCGAGAGAATTTCTAGAATTAAAAGTAGCAGAAAAAGAGATTGAGAGAACAATCATATTTACAATTGCACCAAAAATAGTGAAATATCTAGGAATAAATATAACCAAGGAGATAAAAATTTGTACTCCAAAAACTATAAAACACTGATGAAAGAAATTGGAGATGACACACAAATGGAAAGGTATTCCATGCTTACCAATTAGAACCAATATTATTAGAATGTCCATGCCACCCAAAGCAATCTACAGATCTAATGCAAACCCTATCACAATGCCAACCACATTTTTCACAGAACTAGAATTATCCCAATATTTTTAAATTTGAGAGACAGAGAGCACGCACGAGTGGGGCAAAGGGGCAGAGGGAGAGAGAGAGAACCTTAAGCAGGCTCCACACTTATCATGAAGCCCCACGTGGGGCTTGATCCCATGACCCTGGGATCATGACCAACGGAAATCAAGAGTCAGACGCTCAACCAACTGAGCCAACCTGGTGCCCCAGTGATCCAAAAATTTGTATGGAACCACAAAAGACCTCAAATAAACAAAGCAATATTGAGAAAGAAGAACAAAGATGGAGGCATCACACTCCCTGATTTCAAGATACATGACAAAGCTGTGTTAGTCAAAATAATATAGTATTGGCACAAACGACAGATACATAGATCAACAACAGGAGACCCCAGAAATACATCCACACTTACGATCAATTAATCTAGGACAAAGTAGGGAAGAGTACACAGTGGGGAAAAGACAGTCTCTTCAACAAATGGTGCTGGGAAAATGGGGCAGCTACATGCAAAAGAATGGAATTGGACCACTTTTTTACATCATACAAAAATAAACTCAAAATGGGTCAAAGACCTAAACATGAGACCTGAGGCTATAGAAGTCCTAGCAAAAAACATAGGTGATAATTTCTTTGACATCAACGATAGAGACATTTTTCTAGGTAGGTCTACTCAGGCAAGAGAAACAAAAGTAAAATTAAACTATTGAGACTACACCAAAATAAAAAACTTTTGTATAGGGAAGGAAACCATCAGCAAAAAGGCAACCTACTCAATGGGTGAAGGTATTTGTAAACGATATATCCTGAGGCATTAATATCCAAAACACATAAAGAACTTATACAACACCAAAAATAGACCAAATAATCTGATTAAAAACAGGCAGAGGACCCAAATAGACATTTTCCCAAAGAAGACATACAGATGGCCAACAGACACATGAGAAGAGGTTCAACATCCCTAATCTAATCATTAGGAAAGTGCAAATCAAACCTATAAGGAGATAACAGTAAGAATGACTAAAATCAAAAACACAGGAAATACCAAGTACTGGTGAGGCTGTGGAGAAAAAGGAACATTCGTACACTGTTGGTGAAAATGCCTGCGGTGCAGTCACTGTGGACAATGGTACGGAGGTTCCTTAAAAATTCAAAAGAGAAATACCATATGATCCAGTAATTTCCACTAGTGGATATTTTCCCAAAGAAAATGAAAACACTAATTCAAAAAGATATACACACCCTATGTTTATAGTAGTGTTATTTATAGTAGCCAAGATATGGAAGCAACTCAAGTGTCCATCTATAGATAGATAAAGAAAAGGTGGTGTGTGTGTGTGTGTGTGTGTGTGTATGCACACACATATACAATGGAATATTACTCGGCCATTAAAAAGGACGAAAGCTTGCCATTTGCAACAACATAGATGGACCCAGAAGATACAATGTTAAGTGAAGTAAGTCAAAGAGAGAAAGACAAATACCATATAATTTCACTCATATGTGGAATTTAAGAAACAAATGAACA